ATGAGCACTCCTGGGTAGTGCAGAGGTGAGTTTGGGATGCAGATCCAGAGGGGATAAAGACCCCTGGGTAGTGCTGGGGTGGGGATCCAGAAGGGATAAGCACCCCTGGGTGATGCTGGGGTGGGTTTGGGATGGAGACACAGGAGGGATGACCCAGCATCACTTTGGGGTGGGTTTGGGATGCAGATCCAGAGGGGATGAGCACCTCTGGGTGCCTTTGGGGCTGGAGAAGCTGGAGGGGCTCAACACCCCGGGGTGCTGCTGGGGTTTGGATCCAGCATGGGGTTTGATTAGGGGCAAGAAGGACCCCCCACCCCCAACCCCGGGCCCAGCCTCACCTGGGCGGTGCCGGTGGTGCCGGTGGTTGGTGGCAGTGCCGGTGGTGGCGGTGCCGGTGGTGGCAGTGCCGGTGGTGGCAGTGCTGGTGGTGCCGGTGCCGGTGGTGGCAGTGCCGGTGGTGGCAGTGTCCAGCCGGGCAGGCTCCGCTATTTGAAGGGTTCGGTGACAGTGACGTCGGCCCGGCCACCGCTCCCACGGGGGACCGTGACCTCGCTGACGGCGTCGGCCTCCCCGTGCCAGCGTCCGGAGCCTCCTTCCCCCCAAATCCCCCCGGCACTGCCCTGAGACGCCTTTTTGGGGTCTCAGCCCCGCTGACCCCTCTGTCACCCAGGGCTGGGGACCCCCCAGAACGGGCTCATTCCCAATTTCCTGGCAGCTGGGAAAGGGATGGATCCACATTGTCCCTGTGCAGCTCCAGGGATGCTCTTGCTGAAAGGAGAGGAGCAAATTCCCCGTGCCTCAGTTTCCCTACCCCACCCCAGCCCTCATTTCCTCGGTTCAAATTTGTCACCCCCAAACTGGGGCTGGATGCTGGCAATGGCCATGGAGCCCAAAGCTCCCAGCTCAAGGGATGTGGCAGAGCTTGGGAAGGGGATTTAGGCAGGATCTGGCCCTGGAGTATCTCCAGCAGCTGCTCATCTCTCTGATATTTGCAGTTGGATGCAGGATGGGGCTGTGGCAGATGCTGTGGCAAAAGCTCAAGGCAGCTCCTGGCACCCCAAAATTTCCCAAAGCCTTCTGAGATCCTGGGAATGATGGAAAAAAAAGGGGGAAAATCTCATTAACAGCCCCAGGGAGCAGGCAGCACCCATTGGGCAGTGGGATGGAGGGACTTGTTGGGGTGGTGTGTGTTCCTCAGTGGAGCCCCCCTGTTCGAGGAGGGTCCCCATTTCTTTGGGGTCACCACATTTATTTCTGAGTGTGACTGACAGCCTTGCCCCAAAGCCTCCAAAATTTAGGAGCTGGAATTTATTAGCAATGGGGTGATGTTGGTGTGGGGATGATGGCAGCATTAAAGCAACTTTTGGGGGTGTTGTGGGTGGCTGAGGGTGTCCCCGTTCCTGTGTGCCTCCACTGAATCCCCCTGTGAACCCTGCCTGGATGGAAAAAGCTGAAAAAACTTGGATGCTCTGACTCATGGGCTGCTTTTACCCAGAATTTCCCAGATTTCAACCCCATATCCTGAGCTCAGGACATCCCTGTCAATATTCCTGGGCCCTGCCACTCACCCTGTGCTGCCCATCACTGGAGTGCAGAGAAACCCTTGGGGTGAAGCCTCTGCTCCAAACCAGTTCTCCCAGTGCCTGCAGTGGGGATGGAGCTCCCCCCATTAATCTGGGCATGGTGGCCCTGACTGCAGGAGGAACAAGGTGTTTCCTCAGGCACTGCTTCGTAAGGAAGAAAATAATAAAATCAACCATATTAACCTGCTTTTTTTCCCTAATATACAAGCGCTGCACCCCTGGTCCTCAGGATATTTCTTGACTCTTTGGGTTCTTCTTGAAAGAGAGCAGGCCTGGAGTAGGGATTTGGGAGAAATCCTTCCTTGTGAGGGTGGATTTGATTTCCCAGAGGAGCTGTGGCTGCCCCTGGATCCCTGGAAGTGCCCAAGGCCAGGCTGGACAGGGCTTGGAGCCACCTGGGATGGTGGAAGGTGTCCCTGCCATGGCAGGGGGTGGGATTGGATATTCCATGAGATCCCTTCTTCCCTAAACCATTCCCTCATGGTGTGATCTCTCAGGATGCCAGGAAAAAATCAAAAAATCATCTGACAATGCCTCCAGGAGCTGGGGATGGAGCTCACCTGCACAGAGCAGCAGCAGGGGTGCCAGGGATGGCCACTGTGATCCCCCTCAGCTCAGGGCCACAGGGCCAACCCCCCTCCCTGCTCTAAAATCCAGCTCCAAACACACAGACATTTCCTTCTGGGAGCAAAAATCCTTTTGTTTTTCTGGGGTTTTCTTTTTTTGGGGTTGAAATCCCAACATTTGGGTGCTGCTGTGTGGGAATTACAGTTTCCAAACCAGCAGTACATGGTGGCCTGACCCTGAGAGTGGAAAGTTTTTAGCTTTTGGTACAAAAATGAGGGTATTTATATATAAACACACAC